CCATTCTCACATCGCATTGACACATTTTCCGTCCATTTTAGGATACACCACCAACACCACCACCCTCCTTGTCATCCGCCTCCTTCTCCTTCTTGCTGAATCACTTGCTCCATCCACGCACACTGTGGTGTAGCTCCAACTCCATCATCAACTTCCACCAAACTGATGCTTCCCTCACACTGTACTGCGTCCAATGGATTCCATTCCACCACTCTCCTATTCCTCTTCTTCATGACAACAGAAAATGCACAGCCACAGCAAGCACATACATCCACTTCCCTTCCTCCACCACTTCGCTTGCCCTATCGATAAGCTTGCCAACATCCATCTGACACCTCGAGGTTACTTAATTTGACACAATGCATCATAACACAACTTACCTTCCACCTCCCCAACTCCTCTCCTCTCCTCTCCTCTCCTCTCATCTCATCTCATCTCCTCCTCCCTTGCTTCTCAGTTCTTAACTACAATCACTCTTCCTTACCACCACCTCTGTCTTCTGCGTTCACATCGACTTGCTAAGTGTCTGTCTGACGCCAACCATTCTCCACTCGTGTCTTCGCCTCACTTCCAAACTAGGTGCTGCTCTGTCAAGTCTGTTCGTTTTTGAATCGATCTACACCATTCTGTCCCAACATTCGCTTTCCCCGCTCTCTCCCCCCTCCCTCCATCGCCCCATCCCTTCCGCATTCACTTCCCTCTCTTCTCACTCTCCCTCTCTTTTCTCTCTCAACGCCTACACACTATTGCTTTAACTCACTCCACTCCCCTTTACTTCATTTCATTTCATTTCATTCCACTTTACTTCACCTTTGCACTCACCCTCAACGACCGACTCATCTCTTTCCCAAATACATGCAATTCACTCGCCTTCCTCCTACCCTCAACTCCAGGTAGTGCCTATTCACGAATGTATGGATCAACTCCTCTCAATCCTCCATCCTCGTTTACTTCAGCCTACGTACCTCATCGCGTCCACCTCTTCCCTTACCACCACCTGCCAATGTGGTCTGTGCAGTGTCGTCTTCTCACATTCCATCCACCTCTTGTTCTTTCACACCGTCTGAATGACACACCAACCAAAAGTCAGATAGACGGCGTCGCCACATACCACTTGCGCCACCAATTGTCTGCGACAGACAATCGAGTGGAAATTGACGCAGTCGTGGCTACTGTCGTTGTCACCAAAAATGCCGCAAATACGATCCCGTTCTGCACACCCACATACCGCAAGCCAGAGTGCGATGCAGAGGCAACGAGACGAAGACTGACCGCTGACCACGTGCATACGCGGGTAAGTAGACATCGTTGTGACAGTGAGGACGATGGAAT